CAAGAGAGTGAAGAAATGTTTCAATTGAATTCCGGAATCTTTATTTTCATTTGAATTTCAGTCTTGAACAATGATTATTTCAAGTCTATCTGCTTTCTTCATTATCCATTGTTGATAACGAAAGTTGGTTGACTACTTAGTAGGTAATCAATATTGAATCAGTAGTTAATGGAAGTGGCTCATTATTTCCAAAAGAAAATAGGGATCACGCTATCAATTTCAATCATTTATTGAAATGAAAACAACACTTGTTAATCGGTTTGGAAATATGTTCAAGTGAATCTTTCTTCAATTAAATCAATTTTGCATTTTCGGTGCGCCTGTTTTTGAACCGTTATCAACTGGTTAACCGAATATTTTAAACAATATTTGTGGGTATATGAGTATTTTTCAATGGGTCCCTCTGTACTATAAAACTTCTATACATAATTTTCATAACCCAAACGTATTGATGTAATATAAATATTACATCAGTAAACTCAATTACTGATTCTTTGAAGTTTTCCTAGAACTATAAAGATGAAAAAATAATTATTCACTGAACACTTTTACATGGGTCGAATGATGAAAATAACAATTTAAATGTAGGAAGAAGGTGAAAGAATCGAGAATTCAAACATTTTGTGTCAATATTCATGACTTGTTACACAAAGAGAGACAGTTCGAATGATGATGTATCATTATTTTATACATCGTTTCAAAATCACATTATTTCATATACGTAATTATATACGTTGATTTGTCAAGTGTCAGTAGGTCTGCGACATCTTTTATGAAATTGTGACAGCACCACATAGCTGGGATATGATTTTACCCAAAATATTTCAGTAATTTGTCTTATCGAGCTTCCACAATAATAAAAAATAAGGAAATCATAATGGAGAACTTTATAGATGCATGAAAATGCCAAACGTTCTATTCATCAGTCAGTTCGTATTCAATATTTTTTTCAATACAAAAATAAGGAATTATGCAGATACTATCCTCACGTTTCGAAAAATAAAATCTGCGTTTTCTTTGAGAATTGGAAAATCTAAGGACATTGACAATTTTGTTTTTTGCTAATTAGCTTCATTTCTAAACTTCCTCGACAAATGTCAAAGGAGTTTTGAAATGTGAAGTTGGTATGTCAATGTTGTTAAGATAAGTACCTGTATGAATTCCTAGCTCTTTTTTGATAGGCAAAATCATTGAATATGGCAAGTTAATGACAAATAAAACATTTTTTATATGAAAAATACTTTAAATTCACGCAGTTATTTATTGGGGTGAACTGGAAAGTTTGGCCTATCTACACGTGTATGAAGTTATCCATTACAATTTTAATTTTTTAGGTTGTGGAAGATGATATCACCAGAAAGATCCAATAGTAGCATGTATATTTGATGTTTCATCCATTCTCTTCATTATGATTTCGTACCAGGTAGTAACTAACGGCTACATCCATCATTTTATTACAATTTTATTTTTTTTTTTCAAATTGTGTGTGGTTTAATNAAATTTTATTCAGAATACCTACGTTGTGAAATATGAAACATGAATTGAAAGGGATATATTTTCAGTAGAGATTAATTTTTGGGAAAAAAGGTTTTAGCTTTCTACTTCTTCGTCTTAATAACGAAAAAATTTGAAAATCTTCCAAAGGCAGAAAGGAAGCAATCAATTTCAATTACTCATTTAAAAATATAGGAATATGTTTCTGCATATCATGAAACGTACCGGAAATATTGAAACAATGATTTCAGGTGTATTTAGGATACAAAAAAGTACCAAATAAGTATCATATATGATATAATAATAATATGATAATAACTTCATTTATCCATTTGAAAGGTTTCACACAACATAATAATAATAATAGTAATAGTTAAATAAAGAAAAATAACGATAAGTGTAAAAGCATTTGCTTATAACAAGAACAATACAATTCGAAAAATTTATCAAAATGCAGATATAATATATAGATATAAAGTTGAACCTATAACATTATTGATAGTAAAAAGGATATATAAGAGTTCAAGATATATAACTATCGTTAGTGGCAATTTCAGTTACACAACGTAAAATACAATGTGAATACAAGTAAAACTTTCAAATAATGGAAAGAATAATACATACCTATATACTAGTGGAAGAAAAATGGCACAATAATTGGAACACAATAAAATATATAAATAAAACGATGTAGTGTGTGGTTTCCTGATCGAAATGATAGTACCTGATCATGTCAACAAAATCGGAAACTACTATCTCAGGTTGAGAAACAATGAATAGTCTTGATTTTTTTTTAACAAGTGAATTTCAACTATGAAAAATTTACCTTTATATTTCAAAATGTATAACACTTTCAAAATACAAATTTTAGTAATATACAGTTTCCGAGCCAGGTAAGTATAAGAGTGTTGGAAAATTGATTTTTGTGTCTGGGAAAGCTATACCCAATTTACAATACTTCCACAATTCGAACGATAATTCTATATATCCTAGCGTTCATTAGATCCCAAGAGATGAATATATTTGAATCGGAATTTTTATATTAGTTTAGAATAATATAAGAGCTGTTGAGGAACAAAAAATACATCCATTCAAGTACCGAATCATGAAAGTCTTAGTGAAACAAGATTCAAATAATGATGAAGGTCTTAAATAACACTAGTTTACAGCCAATTTACGACTGTAATGCCAAAGGCAGTTCTTTGTTAACTTTTGATCCCTAAATGCCAAAATCATAGTAAAAATTTCCTAACAAATGAGATTTTTGAGTTATGATTTTTTTCACAAAAATTCATTCCAAATTCACTTTTTCTCTAATTTGAGGAAATTTTTTAAAATCTGGCAAAACAAGTTAAAGGCCGTTCTGCTCCATAATGGTAACAAAAGACCCTCTATTCACTTATTCTAAATGCATGCAATAAGTATAAGTGGCAAATATGTGGTGACCGAAAAGTCATAGGACTGTTACTACGTTTTCAAGGCGGATTTACGAAGTTTTACTGTTTTCTCTGCTTTTGGAACTGTAGGGCAACACAGCCATTATCAAGGAAAAAAATGGCCTCCGAGTGATAAATATATTCCAGGTCAAGCTAACGTGAAAAATATACCTCTTGTTAATCCCAAAAACGTTTTGTTACCTCCATTACACATTAAACTGGGATTGATGAAAAATTTTGTAGAAGCATTAGACAAAGAAGATGATGCGTTTAAAATTCTTCAACACGTTTTTCCAAAATCAAGTGATGCAAAGCTCGAGGAAGGTATATTTGTTGGATCACAAATTAGAAAACTACTGAGTGATCAACAGTTTCATAAAAAATCAAGTAATGTTGAATTAGCTGCGTGAAGCTTTTTCAAAAGAATTGTTTTTTAGGGAACACGTTTTTAGGGAACAAGAAAGTAGAAAATAACGAAACATTTGTAGATGAACGACTTGATAACTACTGCAGAATGGAATGTCGTATGTCTCTCAAAATCCATATCTTGCACTCCCATTTGAACGGTACCAAGGCAGATGTGATGCAGCAATGATCGGGGATTATTGGTGGTTCCTCATGAGGGAAAACGATGAAACACGTTTGGACAAAAAATCTGCATTGTACGAACATCTTCAAGAATCAAACCATAAGATAAATGAAGATAACCTCAAAATCCTGCATATATGTAATAAAGGGAGAAAAATGAATCTGTTGGAGGCCATGGAAATTAACAAATCAATTAAAAACCAGAAACATAAACCCCTAAACGAGCAACTTGATTTATGTAGGTCTCCTCTCTTGAATTTATGAGTTTAACAACCTCTAGAATTTTCAGGATGGTATTTTCAGTTTGCATCCTGTCTCTCAAATACATGGCCTTGCAGCACACCTGAAAATTCTATAAAATCGATGCTCCAAATTCATATTTCAGTTTTATACTTGATAATGGGATCAAAGCCGAAACCAGTCGTAAAATAAAATTCATTTCATTCATTCATTCATTCATTCATTCATTCATTCAATTCATTCATTCATTTCATTCAAGTGATCATGAATTACCATAAAGTAAACAAGTCATCAATCACACATATTAAAACGATGAACCGATATAAACATAAGTCAAAATTTGCAAAAAGGTTATGCACAAAAGACTTCATTTGAATGTTTTTCCATGTGTATTGTAAATAAAGTCTATTATCCTCAAAATATATTGATTTTTTTGTTTTGATTTTATATTTCCCAATAATATGTATAATTTTTGTATGAAATAAAAATAACTATAACTCAAAATCTTTACATGATGGAAATTTTTTATGTTGGAGTCGCAGTCAGGATGCTTTAAACTCTCATGTATAGCCATTACAATATTAGTCGCATTTTTTTATTTGTTGGCTAGTGTGATTATGTAGAAAAAATTACTACATTACCTATCTACCCGTATTTCTTCACATCATATGAAATATATTTGTGATTAACTCCAAAAGCATAATTTCTAATGAAGCTGTGTTTGTCGCTCTTTGGTATTATTTCCCAAAAAACAAAAATCACTGTAAAATAAATATATGGTTGAGAAAGCTTTAATTTGAGGAGTTAACCGCACAATATTGGGAAATATGCTATTACATGACCTTATCCAGGTTTGTATATGACCACTTAATCATCTTTCACTCTCAAGTCGGTTATTTATTATGCATCAAGATCCATCGTAAAAGCCTTTTATGGCACATTTTGTAACATATTCATTTTATATCACGTTCAATTGGGAAAGGTTCCCCAATATACTCTCATAATAAATGCAAAAAATTGCAAAATACGCCATCATTTTTATTACGTTACATGAGCGCCTAATCGAACTTAATGAGCGGTCATTTTTTCAACGATAACATCGAAATGTACTGAATCGTTTTCAGACAAATTTACTACTTCGAGGAAGGAGAGTGCAAATCTGGAATATTTCGAGTGCGTGGGAGTAAACTAGAGTAAAAGTATTGCTCTAGTGAAATAAACACAATAGATTACCAAATAACTCGAATGGTATATATATACCAAAATAATTCTCTAAACAGTAGTTATTCCTTTGTTTGTGGTGCGTTTGCTCCTTCAATTCATACAAAAAATTATTTCGAGTGTGTGATTACTTTGAGTGCTGGTATTTTCTTGCGGTTTATTTTGCAAGGATTAATCAAAGATGTTCACTGCAGTAAGTGGTTAATCTAACGTGACTGTGCGGAAATAAGGATAAAAGAGAACTTCCTTATAATAACAATTGTTTTGAATATTTTTTTAAAGTTTTGCAGTTCAGTGAATCAACAAATATCAAACTTGAAAATTCATACTACTATTTTATACAAAAAATTATGCAGCAGTTTCCAGAATTTTTCATTTTTACAGCAAATGATCAATGAATCATGAACACCAAACCAGGACTATTATATTCCTGTTGCTGATAAAAGAGTATCCGATTTTTAATTTCGAAAATGTTCTAATGAAAATTTTAAATCAACCAAATATGAATTGTGACCATATTTGAACTTGCAGGAAATAACATTTGTATCAATACTCATTTTTGTATTAAATGGAACAGACTTTGAAATAAGTTGACAAATACTCAACGAAAAATGACCACGGCTAATGAAAACTATTCCATCATCAGATCTTATATGAGAGTATCATCTAAGTAGGTACTTCCTTTCGAACACAAAAAAATAATCAAAAATGGTTTGAGTAGTATACAATTATTGTTCTATTCGTCATGGAACAATTCATGTAGATTTAAAAATTCGACCATTTTGTTACGAATATCGTCATTAGAACCAAATTTGAATGGGTCTGTTCGTATACCAGCAAAGAATCTCCTCCCAGACAAAAAATAAATAAAATCCGATACATATTGTGAGAAATTTCCACTGAACATACATAAAAAAAAATTCAAAAATTTGGGAATATTCTTTTTTGTAAAGTGGGTTTGAAATTATGAAAAAAAAAGAAATGTATTCAGTTATGGACCACCTACATGGTATCAGACATGTCAATTTATAATTATAAAATGATTATTCAAAGTGGACATAGTCAAAAAAACAAAAAACAAAAATTAATATACAATTTGAACTCTTAATGCAGATTTGATAATCAATATGTAAACAAACAAACATGTAAATATACATTCAATACATATAAACAAAGGTAAAATATAAATATATATACACATAAGTATGAGTGAAAATGTAAAAACGTATAATTGTACAGGTATAAAAATGTGAAATTGAAATATAAAAGAATAAGATTATTTACACACAGATATCCACAAAAACTCAATCATCGAAATATTTTTTGTAATGTATAATAAGATTTTGCCAATAAGAAATCTTTCAGTGATTTTTGAATTCGATAGTATTACAGGAATTTAATACTATGAAAACAGCTCCAAAACTGATTGACCAGTGTCGTCGATTTGGATAATTTCAAAAATGAATTTCCCGTAATTCACTGTTCTAAGTAATCATCGTCAACCTTGAATCGTTATTATTTCAAAAATATCGGTTAGTTGGACATTTCGAATATTAATTTTAGATAGCTGTTCTCCGAATCGAAATAATATAATTTACTTTTTATTAATGTATCATTAAAAGGAAATGTGTCCATTCACCTATTTCTCGCTGTAATACTTCAAAAAATTATTACATTCTGCAATTGAATTAACTGCAAATGATGATCATGAAGAATCGAATGGATCGTAAATTGCTCAAATTGCTCTTCAAAAGGTTGAAAGGAGAGAAAGGTTTTGGCTTTCTACGTCTTCTTCTTGATATAAAAACATGTGGGAATATTCCATAGAAAGGAAGGAATCAATCAATTTCAGAAAAGTAATTCTATTCAAAGATGTGTAGATCATGCAAAGAAGTAACTTTCAGGCACAAAGTGAAAGAGAAAGCATTATTGAAATATCTACTTCATATAAACATTGAATTACACGAAATAAAAATACTTTCGAAACAAATACTTTTACGAAAACTGACTATTATTTTGGTGTCATATATTATCAGAAGCATCATTGAATACAAATCAATTAACAGAGATTAGCTTATTAGAACAGAAAAAGAAAAAAACACCTCAAAAGTGCTGATTTGTCTCCTCCTGTTTATAAAAGAGGACATATCCCTCCTCACTTACAAGCGATTTTGGTGAAATTGGGGATACGTGTGAATCGTAGTATTCATTCCACGTGCCACTATAAGGATGTCTGCAATTTGCTGTGTAATGCCTGTTGTAAGTAGTCCCACTGTGAATCGAAAGTGCATCTGAATCTTTCCGTTGGAGAGAATATTTTTAAATAAATTACTAAAATACGGGAAAACTTATGGATTGATAGGGACTTGATGCATTTTCATCTTTTCTTGCACCTCGAACAGTTTGGTTTTTCAACTCCATCCAGGGTTTCCTCTTTGGAGAAGAAATCCAAGCATTTTGACAAACTCAATTGACCAGTTTTTTGTGGTATAGGGAGAGACAAATCCCAGAAAGGATCGAAGTTTACTGATGAGCATCAACAGTGTGTGCACTTCATAGTAGATTTCAATTGACTAACGAAGTTGTCTACAATCTTGGAGTTGTTCATGTTCAACTATCTCAGCCAAGACTCTTGCCCTTTTTCGCTGTCGCTCAATTTTTCGTCAATCTCCGTTAAGATCGGTTTAGGTTTCTCAGTATTTCCATTGAGGTCCTCATGTTAACCTTCTAAAACATATCGAAGGAATTTCTGGGCGTCTTGATGGGCAGATCCCATGAATCGAGGGGCAAATCTTTGAATCTGACTTTTACAGTAGGCAGTTCCACTTCTTCAGATGGAACTTCTGACCACAATTCCTTGATAACTTCTGCGAAAGTTTTGATTGAACCACCGTTCATACTAAAAATACTAGTATTGTATGTATCCTTCTTTAAATGTTCTAGCAACCACCTCGTGTTTGATAGACATTATACTGTTCATGACTTATACAAAAACACTTTTCTCTGTTCAGTTTGTATCCCAAACATTCATTGTGGAATGAAATCCTATGAATTCATAGGATTCCTACACAATATACTAAATGAAAGAGGAAAAATTTCACTTACATGGGACACTGTCGTCCTTACTGGCAGACATCCGACGTTTCACCGCAAGCCAAAATCTTTCTTTCTCAAAAAATTAACCTCTCCTGAAAATATACCCCTTTCAATTTGAAGTTGAAAGGAGAAATTCGTGTCTAATAGAAACTTCCATTCTATAGCACGAAAAACACAGAAAACTGTTGTTGAACTGAACAAATTGAAATTCTGACTACAATGACCTGTTACTTGAAAATTAATAACATTATTCATGATAATATTATACAATTTTCACATTGAAAATTTTATTTATGAGGCTCTTCGCTACACTGTTGCTTCATCAGTTAGACATAATTATCTTTTTGTTCAACAGTGGTCTGAATACCTATTCCTTTTCGGTGTTTGCATGTTCATATAGAGCTTGAACACTGAATCGAAGACTGTCAAAAAAATCATCCAGTTTCAAAAACTATTTTGTTCTCAAGATCATCAGGTTTGCTCAAGAAACAAGAGAATTTCGAAAGGAATGAATGGAATACAGTATTTTATTCTGGTGTCGAAATAGTGTTTCAAATAAAAAGGACTACCATCCGTCGACTGTGAACATTCATTATGAATGTAGAGAAAAAATATCTTTGAGGAAATAATAACAAAATCAAATGTCACCTAACTGATGAACATATTCTCGGTAATTTACAATTTATAAAATTTAAAAAAGTTTCATTGGAAAAAAGTAAAAAAAGTATCTGTTCTTCATCAATGACCTGGTAGCCTCTAGGATTTAGGAGTTTCAATTTAGATACCATGAAAGTATGATTAAGGAGAAAAGGTCATCAAAATGTAGTATTCATTTGGTATATTCTGAGGTGACTATTTACTTTGTTGTTAAATATAAACTATCATTGTCGAGAAATGAAAGAGTCGTTGAGAAGATACGAAACAAAATTTATCTGACAAAGTAGTTTCTAAAGTGATTTGGAAGAACTTTTAAAGATGAAAAATGTTCGAATTTTTCGATGAATTATATATTGGAAGGGTCAATTATATAAAAAAATTGGTATTCAAAAGAATTTTGTTGTGAAAATAGTATCGGAAAATACTTTCCATTCCATTTCATTATTGTAAGTACAATGTAAACTGATCGTCTTCCACAAAGAGTGCCGACCTAATTGAAGTTCAAATTGACATAATTCAAAGTCAATTGGAAGAAAGTGTATTCCACTTCGGACTTTCTTTCGAGCTGGAGTAAATTCTCTTGGTCCGACACCAGCTCAGGTTCAAACAATCTTTGAAAAATGAAAAAAAATACTTTCAAGAAAAGTATGTTTACACTGAGGTTGTTGAACGACTAGATCTTACATTCGAATAATGATTTGAATATTTGAAATATTCGACAATGTAGTTTCCGTCATCAGAGAAGAACTAAATATCTATTTACTGTTACGGAAGTGTGGTTCAGATGAATCGCGAAGGGCACAGAATCGCTATTTTTAAATAGTCTGATTATAACTGGAAATATTAACTGTTAGTTATTATTCTTCTGTAGGTTTCCATATCCTGTGGATATGTTGAAGTTAGCTGGAACCTAAGGAATTATAGATATTCATTTTCAAAATATCTGATTTTTGTTCGTTAGACATTTTATCAAATGATGCAGTTAACCACATGTAACAAATTCACACGCGTAGGTCCTGATCCCATCGGTATATCTGGATGAAAGGTACTCAATGTTACCGTTGGATGATAAAGCTTCTCAATACTATAATAATCATAAATCAATTCAGTTGTTTCACAATCTATCCAACTTCGTAGGGGAGAAATGAGTCAAACTTCATTTGGTCTTATAGACAATAACAAACATTCTTCAGATCAAAATATCCTGTAGCAACTATCCTCATCGACAGCTCTATAGTTGACTAGGTGAAATAAAGTTAATTCATCACAAACCTGTTTCATTTATGGCAAAATAAGTCAAGTGGTTTAGTAATTTTTGTGAGTTCTGATAGCAAGTACTCTTCTTTACTGTGAAGATCTGAGCTATTGAGCTTCAGTCGTTTATGTTTTCATCAGCCGCTACTTCAAATTTTAGTCTAAGAAATTCATGTCAATTCATCTACCTGTATGCATGTTGAGTAAGTTATAATCGATATTCTCTGAAATTACAAAACCGATTAATAATGTAACAGAGGCTGCTTCTCATTCTCGCGGATTCGGGATCTACGCGGGTAAATTAGTTACATTCTGTAGTTTACGCGGATCAAGTCACGGGCAGAAGCTATTCTATACAAAGTAAATCTGTAACAGTTCTGACAATTAGCTTAGTAGTTTTTGAGTTTATCCATTGTAAACAAACAAATCGTTTGACTTCATAATGTGCAATATGTTTACTTTGTGTTTGGATTCGAGAGTAAAGATTTGAGAAAATGTTTTTATAATGAAGAAATAGTGGACATGAATAGGAGCATTCATTTTATTAATATTCATGTAGCTTCAATGTTTCTTTTCCATTTTCGAATTTGAAATATTATTTTTTTATCGATCGTGAAGTCATGAGATTTTCATCATTTTTTATAATTTCTATGGCTATGAATAAGGTAGTACAAAAAGTTCTGTTATAAATTCTCCTGAAAAAATACTGTCAGCTCCACTTGCATCACTGAAATGTATATGATAATTATTATAGTATAGGTGACTAAAGTTCAACTGAATACAGAATCAGTATTAAAAAATCAATGAAATTTACATTGGTGACATTAATTCATTTTGTGTTTCCGTTTACATTAAAATAAGGAACTGAACATTTCTCTACTCATAGTTCATAAAACAAGCTCTTTTCTTAAATTCTCGATTGTTTAGTACTGAAAAAATAAACAAAAAGCTAGGGACTTGAAAGAAATATTTTCAAGTATGTTGCTCCTTCGTGCAATAGAGACGTGTGTAGTAGATAATTTTATGAAAAAAGTTCAAATAAACAGTGACGTACATTTTTAGTCAATAATGTTGGTTAAACTGCGTCTGAAGCCTTCTCTGAACTCAATAATTCATATCTATTCGAAGTTAAATAATTCTTTCATTACTGAAAAAATATTACCTGATTTCATGAAAATCAGATAAGAGATATTCACAAAATTATTTTAAAAAATCAGAAAAACTCAATATCATGTATTGAGGATTCATATTTATGTAAACCTTAAAAAATATTTCGTAGGATTTTTTAACTACAATAAGGAAATGCCCTGCCCATAATACATTAGGGGAAAAAACGAAAAGAATGAAAAGAAATGAATGGTTAGACTTGAATTTGTAGCCAAAGATTAATAATCAACAATAATAATCATGAAGGCAGTCAATTCAATATCCGTAGAGAAAATATTCATTTCAGATGAATGTTTTCTGAATTTCAACCTAAATTTCAACTTGAATCACTTTCTCAATGTTGATATTGTCATTACCATTCTAACACATATTTTTTGCAGATGAAAAGCATTCCTCTTTTCATCACATTCATGTCGATTGCAAGAAGTGAACCTCCAAATACTGATTATGGAACTCCTCTTGGTGCACCTCTCACTAGCTATGGAACACCTAACTACAATGAGGGTCATAACGGCCAAGGTCACCATGACCATCATGGAGATAGTGGAGAGGTATGTAAGATTATTTTGAATTTTTTTCAATTGGTAAAACGTGTTGAGCAATCACTTTGTATATTTTTATGATGTGAAATGATTTTTTCCATGTCTGATTCAAGATTTTGCTTGATTCTCAAAATTTAAATATAAATGTCTTTGTTTTTTATATTCTGAATTTCCTCATACTCAATCATCTCATTGGGTCATAGCTCAATAATTAACATATTTCTTTCACTAAAATTTCTGATTTCATTAGTGCAGACAATTCGTAGATGTTATGATCTTTCGATACCTAATGATTGTTGATTTTAGGTACATCAAATATTACAGAACCAGTTTTATACATGATCAAAAATACCTGGAATATAAGTTCAATAATGCAAAATTGAATTCCCTATTTTTGTTTCTTATTTCAACCGTTGACTTTCAGTTACAACTTTTAGACTTACATCTTTCCATATAATACGCATATGATACGTATCGTCACGAAAATTGAATGAAACTTCCTATATTTTTATATCGTATCGTGTTGTAGGACAAGGTTGTGATGAAAAGATTGGAAAAATATCCGAAAAAACTGTGAAAGTATCTGTATGAAATGAATTATCTCCAACTCTACTAGGATGCTCTGAATTTGTCAAATTCATTGATCCAGAAATGATCAATCAGAGTTACAGAAATAGTAATTTATGCAATTTCTAATAGGTTCTTTCCATGAAAGAGAGACACTGATAGTGACTTTAACCAATTATATGAGAAATCTGATGAGACAGCAATAACAACCTCACCGAATGTGCAGTTTTCTGGGCTTCTCTAGTGAAGAACATAATAAAATCCTAATTTGATAATTTTTGCAAAGTTCTCGTTGATTATTTTCACTTGATTAGTTTCATTAGGACTGATTGGCAGAGTATTAGAATAACAGGTAGTACGAAGGTTACTGTCAACTGACAAAATGTGGAATGCGAAATAATTGAAATCTTCAATAACCAATATAGGATGAAGAACCATTTCTACTAAATTTATTATTTGTTACGACCGGTTTCGGTTTGTTAGACCATTCTCTTGAGAACAGCATAGAGAAAAATACCTAACGCAAACTCTGGTCATACTGATGACCAGAGTAGACCTTAAGTAGACCTTCTTGTCACACCCTGCAACAGATTGCATATGTTTTTTTATACACAAATGTGTATCACATACACATACATATGAGAGAAATTTGAAGTTTTCTAGATACTTCTATGCTCAGCTCTATCAGTTTGGAGATGACGTATAATAGCACTATGTGTATGAGCCTCGCATTCTGTACAAGTCTTGTCGATAATGGAACCTAGAATATTGAATAATATTGATGATTTCTCGAACGAACAATAAACAAAGCTGTTCAAAAAAGAAGGTAAATGTTCAGATTTCGCAGACAACGTGCATTCATTTCATCGATTTTTCATGCTGGTACAATCGTTTTGAACATATGTTCACTGTTTCAGCTGTTATCATGTTTAGTTTGTTGGTGAGAGGCATGAAAGTTAAAAGTTTTTTGCGTGTTCGGCGATTTTCTGCTATCGTAATAAAATGGATCAAAGAATTACCATCAATTTTCAAGTAAAAATTTAGTACACTTGAAATGTTGACAGTGCCATACGGTGATTGTACTCTGATTCAGAAACATGTGTACATGTGGTACAAGCTTTTTGAAGAAGGTCGAGAACATGTGAATGACGACGCTCGTCCTGGAGGCGCCAGCACATCAAGAACTGATGAAAATGTTGGGAAAGTAGTTATGAAAAATCGTCAAATCACTATTAGAGAAGTTGCTGGTGATATTGGCATATCAGTTGGCTCGTCCCATGCAATTTTTGGGAACTTTTGGGCATGATGTTTGTGCCAGCAAAGTTTGTTCCAAAATTGCTGAATTTCGACAAAAAACGCCGCATGAGCACCGCTCATGGAAGTGTTGAATGACGTCAACAGCGATCCAGATTTACTTAAGAAGGTCATAACTGGTGACGAATCATGGTAAATGATTATGACATCGAAACCAACGTACAATGGTCCCGATGTAAGAGCCCAGGATAACCAAGACCAGAAAAAGCTCGCCAAGTTCGATTCAATGTCAAGGCTTTGCTAACTGTTTTCTCCGATTATTGTGGTGTAGTACATCAGGAATTCTTGCCACATAGTTGAATTGTCAATGACGAGTATTATCTTGAATTTATGCGCCGCTTATCAAAAACAATACGAAAGAAGCCTCCAGAAAAAAATTAATGGCTTTTGCATCACGATAGTGCACCTATCAGAACTGCTTCAAGAATTAGAAAAACCGCTGGACCAAGTGCATTATATCTGAGGGAGACTACTTTGAAATTGATGAATGAATGAATGATTATTTTTAGAGAAAAATGAAAATTCACCTTATTTTTCGAACAGAGTAATGAATACCTCTTCCATTCCTGATTCAAATCTACAATTATGAAATCATCAGATATACACATAACAACATCGTTGAGTCACAGATACTGATGTTGATTGAAATGCCACAATCGAGTACAAAGCTCTAATATTTTATTTTGGTAAGCAATGGAACATGAAAATAATTTGAGAAGTTATTAAAAACAAGGTGTTTCTGAAGTTTTTATTGTGATGGCGTGACTTGATAGAAGATGAAATAATGAATTTTGGAGTAACATTAAAAAATATAAAACACTGCGTCCGAAACATGGAACGGAATGATAATTTCTAACTAGCCCCTAGCAATCTTAGTTGGTGTGGTGTGAGACTTGTACGTGTCTAATGTGAAATATAGCATTAAACAAATAAAGTACCTACTGAAACATTTTGGTTTAGTTAACCGTGATTCCTTGGCATTTACCGTGGGTATTATGATTTTGAAAGGTTATTCGTGTACATCTACATTCCTGTTAACCATTATTCATTTAAAAATCGGCAGTTTGAAAAAATACGTGTCATTTAAATTATATTTGAATCGTAGTTTGGCTGTAATTTTTCACCAAACTGAATTTTTTCTGTCAGTTTCATGATAGAAATTTTTAGTGATTTAATAATTATAATAGATGCTGTTTAAACATACTTTTAAAAACAGTTTCTGACATATTGAAACAATTGTTTTCCCATTTATGGAGAAAATTTATCATAGAGGAGGTATTATAGGAAAAATGTTATATAAATATTTCCTTTTTATCTATAGGAATGTTTAACACTATCTTTTTACGCCAATTCAGTTTATGTACATCTGCTATATGAGACAAATGTTCATATGAGTAGTGAGGATTCCTATATTTGAATATTTAAAGAATATGCATGTTGCATGAAAACGTCTGCGATTTAACATATTTAACTACTCCAAATCTGCTGATTCGTGTGAAATTCTGGACCTTTTTCTGATACATTAACCTGATGCAAGAGTTTTGAACTTTTTGTATGCGGCACCTGTCGTTCTTGTCTGAATATGAATGATAAACAGCGTCATAGTGGTTGAAATGAGATGAAACTAACAACTCACATAGCATTTTCTTGACATCTACATCCGAAAATATTGTCTATAGAAAATATGACTTTCAATGATGAATAAGCAATTTTAAGTTTTGAATACAGTCTAAATTGTATTTCAGACTCTCCCATTTTCAAGCTAGTTTTTTACATCTTCCCTGATGCTATCACTTCCAAAGATAATAGCTACTGATTCCTTTGGATTGATTTTCAACATATGATCAGTGGACACTTTTAAAATCATATTTAGATCAAAATTTATATCGGTTACTGCTTGACCTATATATGAATATTTGAAAAATGAATATATTTGAGAGACATCTGCATGAAGGTGCTATTTAAAAGATTTAAACTTCTTGATAAATGTGGCAGTATAGAGGGTATAGAAAAGTGGGCCTAAAATGCTACCTTGGGGTACTTCCGTTTTGTTTCTCCAAGTAGAAGAAATATCATGAATCTGTACTTTTTGTAATCTATTATATAGATAAGATGATATCAACATTACTGATGCATCACTGAACCCAAAAAAAATGTAATATAGCACAAAGTATTTTATGATTGATGGTGTCGAATGCTTTTGAATAATTCAAAAGAATAGTGCTAAGAATATATGTATCCACTACTCAGTAGGTAATGAATTTCCTATGGCTTCTATAATGAAATCATTATTCATTTTACAATAATAACTCACAACCATAGTTTCTAAAAACATGTCGACTGATTGAATGAACAGCCTTTCATTATAAACTCAAGAATATACATTATACAATTATTGCACACACTGAATGAACAGCATGAATTCTATTTAAGGTTAATAGTTCAAAATTACAAAACCATTGAAAACAATTCGTGCTTTTCTTTCATGATTCACCGAAATGTGAGTGAGTTATTCAACATTAAACTTTATTAAATCTTTCTCCCTGAGGCAAATAACATTAATTCCAAACCGATTAATTGTAAATATTTGAGCGGGTTTCACAAGAAAACTTACTCAATTCCTGAAATTAAATTCATGAATGTAGAATGAAGAATCATGTTCAAGTGATCATGCAAATGAAATTATGCTCCTCCTTGGTTGAAGAATTCGAATAGAATATCAATGTAGCACGTGCGCGAATTGAGTTTCCGTGGATTAAAAAAAAATAACAATCATGAAAGACGTAGTATATTGATGATGATACGATACTGATGTAGATTCTGAGATTTAAAAAAATATTTTAGTTTGAAAATTTTACTTCGGGCTACATACTAATCTTTTTTTAATAACGGGGGATTTTCATAAATTCCAAATCATATGCTGTTGGAGTACATCAAGTACACCTCAAGTTTTGGTTTCAATTTGCCAAGATTCAACATATTTGAAATTACTCTATTCTCCTTGAATTGATATTGCATTTTAATCAGTATCTGTGACAAAGTATTTCCTTTTTTAGTGAAACACAATATAATCAGTAGCTATCAACATGGATACTACCTTGGTAAGTCAACGGAAGGAGCGGCTGCAACTTTCCTGGAGCATATTTATAATGGTATTGGCAAAGGTAAATTTGTAGCTGCGCTTTTCTTTGACTCATCCAAGGCATTCGACTCCATTCGATATACTTACAAACAAATTATATGCAATAGGTATCAGAGGAACATTTCTTGCATGGGTACTATCATATATGAAGTTCAGGAAATTATACGCGACATGGGATGATACGAACTCTGTTACATTCAACGTAGATATTGGAGTTCCACAGGGCTCAGTTGTGGGACCACTGATTTTCCTGATTTATATCAATGATTCACCTCAACAACTAGGTACAAAATCAATATTACTTTTTGCCGATGATACTGCAGCTGATAGTCTGAACTGAACACAATAAGTCGAAAATTTTCGAAATGGTGTCACACAAATGAATTTATAGTCAATGCCGGCAAAATGGTGTCAGTTAAATTCATCAACCGAAGACACTTAGAGCCTATACTGGTTGATATAAATAATGTCACTATCTATCCGTTGGAAACCACGAAATTTTTAGGACTTCATATAGATTCTGGGTTGGGTCGTCAAGTTCACATAAATTATGTTTGCATAAGAATCAACACCAGTTTTTATCCCTTGGTTCAACTTGGTACAAAAGGTTATGAATAAAGACCATTTGTTGAACATTTACTATGCGATGATTTATTCAGTACTATCTTACAATGTGAGGAGATTAACATCCGTCGAAAATGCATCTATCAAAAAAGGATAATACGTATGTTGTATGGTCTTCGACACACAGATTCCTGTAGACCCATTTTGAAGAAAAAAAATTTTAACGCTACCATCTATATACATTTATAATTGTCTGCTTTTTGTAAAAAAGAAGGAGTCTGAGTTTGAAACTAATTCAAAGTGTCACAATTACCCAACAAGAAATGGAAGTCTAATTAAACTGCAGCAACATAGTAGGTTTCAAAAATCACCTCTCTAGCAGGCTCCAAGATATTCAATTGTCTGCCTTCAAATATAAAGAGTATCCCATTAATGTCTACTTTGAAACGGAGAGTTAAAGAATACCTTCTAGAGGGATGTTTATATTCTATCAATGAGTATACTTCCAAATAATTGTGATCAATGTACTGTAATCTCTATGTCATTTATTAACTCCGTATTATACATCTACATGTTTTTTGCACTAAACATTTACTATATCATTGTTAAATGATCATTTCAAAGAAATAAAAACATTATAATAATTATTAGTATTATTATTCCTTTTTACAGAAATCTTTCTGTTTCCCCAAAACGAGTCATTTATCTAGTCAAGTTTTGTTACTATCTACTCTTGTTTACACATTTGTAGACACATTGGTACACAAGTATTCATAATATGGCTAAAATACATTCAATAACATAATACTTATTATTCATAATAATAATAATGGTAGAAATTTTCACACGATAACTTGTATTGAAATGCGTCAATATTATAATTCATTGTAAAAATTCTATGCCAATTATTAGCATTGATAATTAATATTAGTGGAGTTTTATCCTAAGACCTCGATACGTATTTCGATCATCAAGTGATCATCTTCAAGAAGAAGATTGAACTAAATATACAAACAATGTTATACTTTTTTATACCATAGATACCTCTGCTAGGTACCTGCGTCTGAATTGTCTTGAAATAATTTTACAATGTTGCCTTATCTACTAGTCATCCTCATAATATAATGTATAAAATTATTGCTGGCTGTGAATAGATTCAATTCCTCTTATAAGTTCCTCCCAAAATCACTGTCAGTTCTTAATGCTTTAACATTTGACACTTTTAGGTTTTATATTATAATTATATTTTGATCACATCAAATAGATTATATATTTTTCTGATATTCGTGTCGGATGGATTGCCGTCGTCAGTAGTTAATGGATTTCCTGTACTGTTATTCACTAAAGTGACATGAGATGTTAAAAATTCAATAGTTGTCATTGATATAACATTTGTGGGAGTAAATATTCTCAAATTTGCAGCCAAAATCCTACGAATTTGGATATCAAGTGAAAGACGACTATACAGGCACCAACTACAACAGAAAAGAATCTAGTGATGGTAACCAAGTACGAGGAGAGTACCGTGTAGCCTTGCCAGACGGTCGGACCCAGATCGTAACTTACTGGGCTGACTGGCAAAGTGGATTCCACGCTGATGTCAGATACGAAGGAGAGGCTCAGTTCCCTGATCAGTACAACAAGGACAACAGAGGATACAATAATGGGGGATATGGCAATGGTGGAGGATATAATGGAGGAGTTTCCAACCAATATGGAGCTCCTGGATTCGGAAATAGTAAGTCCATAAGTCATATTTATTGTGAAATCAAACAGGTTATCAATTTCCTCAGAATACAGTTTCACACATCTAGTCGGTCCTCCACCACTTCGTATTTTCTAAGTTTCCATGTTCATGATTTTTGTAATCAATTAATTTCCCAGTTAAAGAAAATGAAATGTTTTTTTTGATATTTATTGACAAAATCTGTTTTTCTTTTTTTATCAATACAATATCAATAGCAACACAATAGCAACAATATAAAACTAGATAAAATGAAAGTATAAATCAACTAAACTGAGTGATGTTTTCATGTTCATTTCTCAACAACCCTCCTGAATAAGTAAACCATCATTTAATCCTAATAGACTTCAAAGCTCTAAAAAACATATCTCTTGTTAGTCCTTTTGTCAGTATATCTGCTTCTTGCCTGTTCAATTTCACATATCTCAGCTCTATTAATCTGCTAATAACTTTTTCTGTGAATTAGATATATTTGATATCAATATGTTTGGACCGTTTTGTATCGGGATTCTTGGTAAGCTGAATAAATCCCTGGTAGTCCTGATTTGTATAGGACTACAAAAATCTATTCTCATGTCAGTTATCAGATTCTTCAACCAAATTCTTTCACAAGCAGCTCTGGCAGCACTGCAAGCAGCAACGTACTTCAGTAATTAAAAGTGAAACACACAGCTGTTTCTTTGTTGTCCAAGAAATGATCCAAATGATTTGAATGAATAACAGAAGTTGAATCAGCAAAACATAATTACTGGGGCCTTTTCTCGTCGCCTGTAACAAAGTTTCAGTTCGAAAGTTCCGCGCAGATATCTCAAAACTCTCTTGAGGTGTTTCCAGTGTTCCTCTCCAGCACAATCTAGAAAGCGACTCAAATAATTCACTGCAAAACAAATACCTGGTCGTGCATTTAGCATAGTGACGATAAGAATACCAATGAGTTCCCTATAAGGTTTGTCAGTTTTCAAACTAATGTCGGCAATGTTCTCTAATTTCAAGTCTGGTTATTCATTTGACCACAATATTATGCGTTAAGTTCAATACAAAATTACATTTTATAATTCCAAAATAATTTTATGAATGATACTTTGTTTTTTCAACTTCAAGGAAAGATATCACCTAAATCATAATTATTTATAAAAGAAACTCAGTGAGCGTTTTCCTTGAAATTGGTATCCAGTAACTTCAATTTAACACAAAAGTTGAGGTGAGCTGTCGATGAAGTTCTTGCAATATTTCTTTCGAAAATCATATCATGATTAGACCAAACTATTCCTTTGTTATTTTTGTATTTGAAACCTTCAAAATAATTACTCTTTTCAGCTGGATACGCTGATGGACCTGCGACAAGTTCAGCAATAAACAATTTGGCAGCTGGGCATGATAACTACAACTACAATAATAATCATTACGATTCATATAACACCGGTTATAATAAGGCGCCTCCCAGTAGTGTATACGGAGCTGTGTAACGGATTTATTCAAGTGAGAATTTGTGGACTCCACGTAGAATTATGTGGACTCATATCATCGTACGAGTATCTCATTATCATACCATTAGCGCAGATATCTTCTCTCCAGTAAATAGTATATAGTAACCAAAAAGATCTCTAGTTTGTAGTTGATGACTTCTGAATTACTCAATAATTTTGGCCAGTATTTGCAGTGTTTGGTGATTCTTCAAGATTCCATCTTTTTCAAATATATAACACAGAAAAATCGATTAACACATGGTACGACATGGTACGAAATAGCTGTGTAGATATCAAAGGCACGATGAAAATTGTTTTTTATGTTTTAGAATAATCCGTTGACAAATTTCAGGATCCTTGTTAGAAAATTCTGAAAAATGAACGAAATTTAAAACCAATGATTTTTGCCGAAGTATTCTATTTATGACTATTGAAAAGATCAATTATGGACGAAGGAATATTTTCTAAGAAATATTAATGATCTATAACAACTTTCATGAACAGGATCGTATTATACATATGTAAAACAATATATTATGTGGTTATACCAATTCCAGTATTTGTTGATTGGAGTTGAAAGTACCTTCTCTGCGCCCTGTATATAGATTTTATATTTTTCTATTCGTAATTTTTTTATACTTTTTATAATAAACGATCAAAGTCATCTATTGTTTTTATCAGATAGCCATCCTACTCTTCAAAATATACAATATGTATCTATATACCTTCTCAATTCAATAAATATTCTTCGTAGGTGGAGAGTATATTCGATATGTATTTATGAATTCTCCTTGCTTCACGGTCTTAGGCTGATCTTCAAATATTTCTGAAAAAACATCTATTGTCGGTTTTTGTTCTGAAGTGTTGATTGAGAATGAATTTTATGTACAAATGCAGAGTGGATAAAAAGAATAAAATATCTCTAAAATCTATCAGGAAATAATTCATCTGATGAAAAATAACCCTTTGATTTTTCTCAATGAATTTTTGGACCAGCATTAATTTCTCAAGCAAGTTAACAAACCTTTTTGATAATCTCTCACATCACCAGGAAGGGCTTCAACTTATCTGAACTTAGTGCCTAGGTTTCAAAATTTGATCAATATATCAGGAAGGTGCGCGGATTTTTACCAAACTGATTTTCAACTCAACGGGGATTTCACTGAGGGGATAACCGAAGAGAAAAACTATTAGAAGAACAATCAATTGAATAATGAAGAATAAATGAGGATGATGAAACATAATAATTAATGTCTTCAAATCCCACTAAATTCATGAGCATCCAATTAGTCCTTTATATCAAATCCCAACCTTCACAAACTTGTTTAGGGAACAAGATTTTTGAATTAGGTGTTATGAGAAAGATGGGAGAAAAACGCAATAAGGCAATGATGTTACAGAGTTTTCTGAAGACTTGGCAAAATAAAGAAGTCAGACGGTTCGCAAATAGTAGAAAAAAATCTACAATTTCTCTTGCAAATACTATTTTGAAGAAGTTGGTAGGTTATTACATTTTACCAAATCTTCAAATTCACAGTTTTTACTCTACCTATTATTTTGATATTCCAGAATCAATAAACGTATCTATTCAATAACACTTTCACAGTGACTTTTTCATAAATGAAGAGATGAATACAAAAGATACACTTCAGTCATCCTTGATATGATACTAGCGACTCATCGCACAACATCATTATAGTTAAACCAATTTACACATATAAATAATAAATTGTACAAATATACTTTCCTCTTGAATCATTCTGTACATTGGTAAAAACCATAGCGAGGTGTTTTGGCATTTGTTTTCGAACATGGCTCAAACCAACTTGGTTATAGATAACAAATACTTGGTCTACTACAAGCAAACTCTGAAATTAGTAATTATTCGTTTTGAGGACATCCGGCGATTTTGAAAAAATTCTTTAGTGTACTTACGTATTTTGATGCGTAGATTACGAATCCGAAAGTTTACAAAGTCACGACCCTTCAAAGTTCAGAGAAGGACAACTTTTCAGCTTTCTTTTTGCGAAGATATACTATTCAAAAACACAAGCATCTATTCACTAGGTCACCTTTACACCTTATTTCTCCTTAATTGACACTTTTCAATTCAACAATCAACATTTTTCTTATAAAAAACTTGATTTGAAAACGAATGCTTCTTCTGGTGACATTCTTCTATTGTTAGGTTAGTTACTAGTGACATTTCAGAAAAAAGCGGTATTTGCCGCCGCCTACTATTTCGAATATAACTCATACTCACAAGGATTATTTTGCGGAATATAAGCTGCTGTTAGTCTACTTCTTGAATCCATCTTATCTTAATATATCACCACAAACCAATTTACGATCTAAAGAATGAAGGCAAAAAATATTTGAATCACTTTAGGAATATTGACAGCATCAGTCGCACCAACTATGCCATTAATCTTAAAAACATAAATACAAAGATAAAGATATATAACCAAAAAGCAGCTCCGTACATATTTTAACATTTTTATTGGAAAAATGTTGATTGTTGAATTGAAAAGTGTCAAGGAAGGAGAAATAAGGTGTAAAGGTGAACTAGTGAATAAATGCTTGTTTTTTTAAATAGTTTATCTTGTGAAAAAGAAAGCTGAAAAGTTTCCCTTTTCTGAACTTAGAAGGGCCGTAACTTTGCAAATAAGGGAGAGCGCCGCTTTTTTGTTTCGGATTCGTAATCTATGCATCAAAATACGTAAGTACACTCAAAATTTTTTTCAAAATCGCCAGGTGCCCTCAAAACGAATATTTATCCTAAGTTTTATAGGGTCAGTTCCAAAATCTTTCACTTGTTTATCCTAAGCACTATAAAAACCACATAAAACTACTCCTTCTCTTCTTGAAGATTTCTTGAAGGTGTTTGTAATCCACCAATAACAATTTATAGTAACTCTATTTCGGAAATATGATTTAATAACTGATTACAGCAATAGCAATACCATTTCGAATTTAATTCTCCCACAATATTGCATTTCAATTGTTTCATTGCGAAAAATAATATTTACTTACAGCTGTTACGCGATATGAAGTGGTTCATCAGATTGTGTGGATGCGCCGTACCGTCCGGTTTGAAGATTATGGGAATATTATTCCATTGTATATTATGTTTCTACCGGTTGTTGAAACAAAACGATTAATTTCAAGACTTGTCTAGGAAAAGATTGAGTCATCATTTTCTTGAATGGCCTACACACATTTATAATGAACCGTCCTAGAAATAGTTCTTCGTGAGAACACTTCGATGTGTTGAAAATAATTACAAAATGAATCTCTGATTATTCTCTGAATGACATTTTTTTATGGAGGACTCGATATTTTTTCCTGTTCTCTGAGTGTACAACCTTCCACAATCTGAAAAATTAACAGAGCTGAATCAATTGAGAATCTGCTATAGTATAATAAAGGGCAAACAGAATTGTTCACCCCGAAAAGTTACTGCGTAATATAAACATACGTCTAACATACGTCGGAAGAATGGAATAGGTCATTTTTTCATTTTCAACCTCTCATCTTAGCAATGGCAACCAAGTACAATGCATTTTCGCAAAGCTATCCCAAATTCACTTGTTACCTGTTGAAAGAATATGTGCTGATTCTCTGAGTTTTTAATTTTTCATGCCTTCCCAAACCCTAATCAATGAACTATCAACAAATTCACTAAGGCGATATAACCGTATGAAAGAACAAACAAGAGGATAAAACGTTCAGTTTGAGTATACACATAAATATGATAACACAGGAACAAGGTAAAGTGAAGTGGGGTGAATGTGATTTACGTTTTGATTAGCTCAACTCTAATTCAATATAATGCAGCTAAGAGAAGTTTCAAAAATTTAAGAAAAAAACCGTATACTTTTTGAATGGTTCTGTATTCATTGTGTACGAGAAAGGTAAATAATATTTAATGTTGCAATATGTTTATTAAAATACAGTACTCTCTCGCTAATCCGCCACCATAAAATCCGGACCATCGGCGGATTACTGGAAACGGCGGATTATAGTGTCTAGGAACAAAAAAATAAAAAACATATGTAGATATTTACTCATATGCAGATATATTTTGTATTAGTATGTAGGTTTACAAAAATGAATTGAAATTAGAAAATAAACTGACACGTAACTGATTACTCACTATCCATCCATCATCCGTGTGTTCCGATACCAGTGTCAGATAATGTTTCATTATCTTCTTTGGACAATATCTTACCAATACCCAATATCCGACACATATATTCACAATTCCTGTGGATTTCCAATTTCTTTGTTTTCTTTCTATCATACGCATCTACTTCTACTCAACACTCAACTCAACAGTGTTATCCGAATCCCTTAATATTGGGCATATCAAATCTTCGTCTTTTCTGATGTTAAAGAATACTAACTTTTTTCTATTTCGTTTTCTGTAGAAATTGAGTTTGGTCGTCCTTTAGCTGCTTTTTTTGCTCACTGTTTACCTCTCACACGGGAATGTAGGGTTACATATGGTATTTTGAATGATTTGCTGCCTTACAAATTGATGTTCGGCCTGCTAAAACATCAGATATTGCAGTATTTAGATGAGTTACCAAATATTTTCATTTGTAGCATCGAACCATGATATGTATAGCAAAAGAAGCTTGTAAAACTTGGTCTACAACCATTTTAGTTTACTGTTTGGGTGGATTCAAATAAGTATCACAGGAAGTTATACAAACGGGGTAAATGTGATATATTATGATACATTTGACCCAACTTGTAATAATACATTTACCCCAATAACCAGATTTCAAGAGGCAAAAAAATAATATATTTCGTCACGAACACACTCTTCGATTATCTGAACTCAGCTGAAATTCAAGTTCAGATTTCGACAACTTCTAGTGGTGGCCCATTAGACTAGTATATTTCGGGTTCCATCTAATAGATGGCAGAAGCATATTCATTAAAATAGCGATTGATATAAACTATTGTCACAATTGCTCCATCATCACATATATCCCACTGTAACAGATACGTCTCAATATCTCAGACAAATTGGGAGTTTTTTGTCGATAAACATTCGTTTCAAGACAATTTATCGATTTTTTTATTATAACATCGAGAAAAAGAAATTGATTATGAACTTCCGGTTTTAACGTAAATTTTATCGTGGATTCTTTTGAATTCAATGGTGACATCAACGTTTTCTTGAATTATTTTTCCTCTTGAATTCATGAAACTAAACTCAAAAATATATTTGAAAAAAGAGTGTGTTCACAAAGTTTTAAGGTGGATTTTGGGTTTTGAAAATGTCGACTACTTGAAGAGCTGGGTAAATATATATAGCTGCTATTAAAACATCACAAAGTTTTACAAATGGTAACAAGAGATAGCAAGATGTCATTAGAACTTTCTCCAATTAATTGCAAATCAGAATGTTGAAATCAAGTCTATGAATGACTTCTGGTCCTGTAGAAGAAGCGTTGTTCTTGCATAATTCAATCTAGTTGGAAGTAAGAATGATGTCAATGTTGAAATTTTCACGAATTTTGAAAACTCAAGTGCTAAATGGGACAAATGGCTGTCCTTTCATGAACCGAATTCAAACCGTTGATAGGCTCATGGAACTGATTTTTGCCAATCAGAAACAACCCACATAAAATATTGCCACCCTTGTCGCAT